ATTGTTCGTGGTTACCGATAGTATTGTTACCTGTGTTTTCTCCTTTTAGAACAAGTTATTGTGGCAGGTTTTATCGCTCACCTTTGATACAATACAGTGTAGCCTAGGTGGTATTGCTAATTTGACAAATATATAAGTGATTATGTGTCAGGGTTGCAAAATATTTTTTGTTGTAAACTACAACTACAGGTATTTAGTCAACTTTGGTGTAGCATCATCTAAAAACAGCACACTATGTAACAAGCGCACCATGAAAACAGACACAAAAACCGGTTGTCGTAACATGTGTGTAAGCCAGCGTGATACAAATTAGATCCACTCAGTGTATATTTGAGATGTAGTTACCTACAAGTATATAGCCACTGTGTATGTGAGCGAGGTGTCCATGCTAACGTTAGCTGCGCCGGCGATAAATTTGAGATATGTTTTACAAATGCTAGCACAATGGATGCATTTTCCTGTAAAATATCAATATGACATACCTGGTAATCACACCAACGACAACATATGTATGCGAGTCAGCTGGTATTTGATTATTTGAATACTATTTTTACTTGTTTGGTTGTTCACTAAATCTGCAGATTGAAGTTTTGGGACTCGACAACAAGTTGTACATAATTGTTAACTGCATGCACATATATATTCATTTAACACATGGAATTATGTTGCGTCCAGTTAACCGAAAGCAGCTTTACTTCAATAAATCATCATTGGGATAATCTGCATTCTACTGTATTACAAATTTTTGTTTGGAACTGATATTCAATAGACCTTTGGAAATATACATGAACATGTAAATCAATTATTACAATATCAATGTATTAATAACTGAATAATACACCGATTTAAAATGTTAATTTTAAACCAGATTGGTGTGTCAAGTTCTACCCCAACTGTAAATTTGATTATGTTTCAAGATGTTATTTTGTAAATAAACTAGCTAACTGACGTACAGAATTTCAGAAATAATCTTAGTCTTTTTTGTTGTTAATTGATGTCAAACTCGCAGAAGATATCTGGTAAAATAATAATGAGCAAGATTTCAGATCACGTCATTAACCCAGCTGCGTGAATGGTCAATTAGCCTAGCCGTTACAAAACAAATGGACAAGTATATGTTACCGGCGACTTTAATGCTAGAACAGGAACTGGACCGGATTCCATAGTAAATGATGGCCTCAACAATGATACGTTATATTATATGTATTACAGTAATGATTCCAATATTCAGAATCGTAGTAACATGGATAAATATGTGAATACTTATGACAGAAAACTACTGTCATTGTGTAAAAATACGAGTATGCGTATAGTTAACGGTCGTCATACACGTGANAGGGATCCAATATAACATTGGTGAATGTGGAATGTGTAGCTTTCATAACTGTTGTAACATTGCTAAAGCAGTCCAGTACTGGACTGGATTTTCTTGCATCAAGAACTATTTATATTTGTTTCTCACTTCTTAATTTCAGACCCCCTTAGTGGACAAAAATGCCTTGTCAATATACTGGACATATTATTTCATTAGTATAAACTACATGTACTACATAAATAAGCCCACCTTCTGTTATCCACTCATCTTTCATTCTATAATGATTGCTTGGAATTTAATTTGTGTCTCCAAGTCGAGAAAACTTTTAGCAATCTGTAAAATACATAAACAAATGTACTTTTATGTTTGGTGACGGCAAACTACATTGATTTGGGCTTATTGCAAGATAAATTTAGATACACGTACATGTATATATTAAATGAATATATATCTTGAAGTTGTCAACTATTAAGATATTTCTTATACCATCTTTGCCATAATTAATGCTCCTAACTCAATAAGTACCCCTCCTCCTTTTTCAGGAGGTATTTACGCCTGGTGATCATGGATTTGATGCTCACAAATAAATCTTAAAAAACAAGGGACTTGAATGCTGTCTTGTCACAGTTTTCCTAATGATTATGATTATATATAGTATAAGTAACCTTTTTTCTGCTTAAGCTGTTGTCCTATTATCCGAATGGGAACCCCATTTCAACAATTTTTGAGTGCCCTTTGTGCTAATTACAGCAAATATGATTAAAAACCCCATTTCAACCAATTTTTAGTGCCCTTTTTGCTAATTATAGCAAATATGATAATATTGACAACAAGAGGCCCATGGGCCTTAACGGTCACCTGAGTCCTACAGTATTTATTTTTGTTGTTGAAATATGTCCTAATTTGAGTAAAAAATAGTTAAGTATAATGTTAACTTAACTTTGTCAGGACCATGAGCTGATCATTCCTAGACCGATTTTCAGTGAGATCGGCCTATTAGATCTTGTTTGAAATAGGTATTTACAAAATAGCGGCCATGGCAGCCAAATTGTATTTCTGGTTGACCCGAAAAATAACAACACTTTGTCAGGACCATGAGGCGATCATTCCTACCAACTTTCAGTTCAATCGGCCCAGCAGAACTTGACTTTAAGTTTGAAATGTAAAATGTTAACGGACGACGGACGCAAACGGATAGCAATACGTCACTTGAGCTAAAGCTCAGGTGACCTAATAAAAATCTATAGAAAGTAACAAAGATATTGACCTTGACCTTTTTACATATGAGAAGCAATGTAAGTCATGAAATGTTTCACATAATATAGGTTTAGTGTGGGTAACGGACTGAATTCACAGTACTCAGTGTCAAATTCTATCTTTTGGACAAGCATGTATACAAAAGTACATGTATATACATGTACAACAAAGTACATCATATATAAGAAACGGAAACATCTTGCTGCAACCTACAAATGGACATCTTTTTTCAAGTGTAGCCTTTTCATCGTTGATTCCATCTGGTGAAGCCCCCCGATATGGATACTTTGGGTGTACATACAGTCCAGCCAGCCCTCTTTACATGTAACATCATTGTTTGTTCAAATTTGGTTAAAGCTTTCTTTTCATAATTTTGTCCATGCTGATTGGCTTTTGTGTTAAGAGTCCAAGATGAAACAAGACTCTCACAAAGTTCCCCCATGTTTCGATGACAGGTAGCATGTGTGACTTCCCCAAACCTAGATGCAGTTACCCTCCACCCCCTTTTTTTTCTTTTCACTTGGAATTTGGTTTGGGTCTCCAACTCTCGAGCACCTTCTTCAGTAATCTGTAAAAGTATTGATATGAATGATTTTTACCAAAAAAAGTTTGAAGTTGAATTGCAGTAAATCTGGGTCATTTTGAAACAATGAATATTTATAAAAGATTGGTAGTAATTAAGGGGTCAGACTGTCTGCTTGCCAACCTATGACTGCATTTAAGCTTAGTAGTTTCAATTGTATTCCACATTCCACATTACAAAGATCAGCTGTGCATTGTGAGACCATGTGATTGATCATGGTGTGATGATCATGACATTACTACCAACTGTTGGCTGACTTGTGTTGGTTGTTCTATTCATTAAAAAATTATATATGAAATTTTTATATCTATGAATTGTAAAAAAAAAATTGAAAATAGGAATACAGTGTACAAAGAAGAGAGCTAGTTGCATTACATTAAGAGTTACAGGACTATGACTCATTAGAATGCTGTGTAATGTTTTAATGAAATAAAATTCACTTGCAACATGACCAATGACACTCAATTGTATTCAAATCTTTCGATTATAAATACATGCCAATCTGTGCAAGAAGTACTCTTCTATCTGCAGCCAAGTCAATTTGGGAAGGATAATCTTGTGATCTGGTATCAATCGCTGAAATCCAACAACTGGCCAAACACACAAATGGCATCGGGCGGGTAAACAGCAGATTGTCTGAAGTTCCTATTTCTTTCATAGGCCTTTAATCTAAAAATAATAAAAACAAAAATATGCCGTCTATAATTAGTGAGTTAAAAAACAAAAATCAGTCTGTAATACTACTATTACATTACATGTATTTAATTTCATTCCTTAATTTCTGTTATATGAAACAAAACAAACTAATTTAATAAATGTGATTTCTACAGGGACAGTCCAAACAGATATATTCTGTAATTTGTTCTCGGAGCCCCTGTGTTCCTATACATCTTTTTGTATACCGATATCTTTTGATGAGAACATTATAGTTCACCTACGTACTTCTCATGCATACTGCTATTCAGAGGAACGATTCTACCCCTGAATGGTTTTCTTAATCATAAGGTGTTGCACATTCCTGTGATCAAATAGATCCTGGCTGTGTTCCAACAAATACACAACTAAATAACGCCGTTTTTACCTGATGTAAAACTCTTTTATCTTAGGGCAAAAACCCTCAAAGTAAATTAATCACATTTTGTTGTTAATCCCCTAACACGTTTATAATCGTCAATTCCGAGACGGAGGACATCAAAAGAAAGAAGACGGTGGGATTGTTGCCGCCCCCCCCCCCCCCGCTTGTTCAAACCAGGAAAAGCACTGTTAAAATCTTCCTATTATCTTCACACCTTGATCTCAATCATTATTGATAGGAATGGAGATTTACGCCGATCAAAAAATATAAACAAATATAATAATTATGTATTTCGGACCTGTCTCCAAACTTACTTTCACTTTCGACGACACCGACAGTGACAGTCGATTACCCGAACAGCTGACGGGTGAAACTGATAGAAAGGCAACAATAAATGCAGCTTTTATTCAGTATGAAATAAAATATGTTTTACCTCTCAACTAAATCACTTTTTCTGCCATGGGTAGTAGCACTCCGTTTCCTCAATTCAGTCTTCAGCTTCTGTACCGACCAGTTCTGAAAACACTCGTACGCCATCTTGGCATCGGTAGTAACCCCCTAGTACACGCGCGCCCCCTGGTGAGTAGTGTCGCGGCGGGAACCATCGACATATCTCGTAATGGTCATGAATATTCATCCGTGCAGGATCTAGTGTATATTGATATTTTTTCTACTGTATAATATATTCCAGGACTCATTTCACTAACATCATATATAGTACAACTCGGATAGCATTGCTTTTACTAACAGAGGAGGTTGAGCCCGGTATACATCAACTATTGCTGCTGATTGTTAAGCTAAGGTAAGCTAATATATGTTGCTTTGATAAGTTTAGTATATTCGTATCCATTACTAAGTTTCTGTAGATTTGACTTTTAGTAATACATTTGTATGTGTTTATACCACACAACAATGAGATATTAACATAAAATGCAAGATTAATAGAATCTTCCCCTTCCTTGAAGAAGTGACAGAGAAATCTCCAACCCGAGGGGTGATGTTATTTGTTGTCTAATCCGTTCTATACCCTCAAGGAAGGGGGTGACTATTTTTCTCCCATCCTATTATTTCAGTCGCAACTCCAACGACAGTAGTCCGACATGTCTGTAAACAAAAACACATGAGGGGTATGAATATCGTCAGAAGCCTTTTGATTACGTCACAATTACCGGTTAACAGCAACGGTCATTTAAGGACGTGCCTCCATGTGTGTAGTGTATGCGTGCTTGCGTGTGTATATGCAGGAGAAAGGGCATGTTGGGGTGTTTGCCTTCTAGCGATAGCACAGATCTTATGCCGACTTCACAAACTATCTCACTAGAATGCCATTCCGGAGGTACCAGGCACAGCATTCCGCCGGTCACATTATACTGACATGTTATTACCATTCCCCTTAATGCTGAACGTTAAGCAGGGAATAACAACTTCCATTTTTAAGGATTTTGATATGTCTCAGCCTGGGGACAGAACCCATTGCCTTCCTCACCTGGGCGAACGCTTAACATTCAAGCCAAAAGGGAGGTGTTGCCAAGCAAGGCGCTAGGAAAACAAAAGGTAGTTAGAAGCAGAAAGAAAGATAAAGATCCCAAATATTGAAATAGGCGCAGCAGATTTATTATGGTCGCTTTTGTGTCCCCAATTAGAGGACACCAAATCAAATCCCAAATTCTGCAGGGGTTCACACATTAGTCGCCTCCTACGATACACGCAGTGGGTAACAGCATCCCGATCCCCCACCTGCAGGGGTGCCGTTGTAGGAAAGATCCTTCAGCCCAGGTATTAAATTCGTTGCCCTTCGCCGTAACTTCTCAATTGTTTCAATGTCTTTAACTTTGTGTTGGTTCCATACACTTGCCGCGTATTTTAGGTGCGGACGGACTAGCGCCCTGAAAAGCTGTTTAAAAGTTACCTCATCCAAATATACAAATGATCGTCTTATAAGCCTAATAATGCTGTTTGCTTTATTCAAAACGAAATTATTTCGAAAAGTGCAGTGGGACAGGCATCCTTAGTTTGCTTTTGATAAACTGCAAAAACATTTGTTTCGAAAAAATATTCTTTTCGTTTTAGTCGAAGCATCAGAAGGATGGAAATGGAAAATTTCGTAACGCTGAACAATGGAAAACGAATTCCTCAAGTAGCCCTAGGAACATCGAGGGTATGTATTTTTAGTAACAGGGATGATCAGTCAGTATCATGCGGTACTTTTATTGATATAAATATTACATTAAGAGGCCGAAGGCCAAAAGACTCAGCAGACGAGAACATTTGAATAACTAAGCTGACCATGTTTTGTAGAGTATTGACAAAATGAGAGGAAAACTAACAATGCTTGTATTAAGGCGCTCTGCATTCACACAGGCGTAAACTTTCCAACACGTTTATTAATACTGCAAACGTGCCTGTCCCAAGATTTTTTTTATAATCTTGTCACAAAATTCTTCAGGAACTTATAGTTTGATACTCCGTATGAATAATTCATGTCTAGAAATTGACAAGAGACAATGTTTTCTTAGCAAGTGTCGGTGAATTTTAGCAAACAAAAGTGCCTTTCCAGTCGAGGAGAGAATGAAATTATCGCTAAGTACAAGCATTTGTTCTTAATCAAAAGCATCTTCCAAACAAAATCTCGAACATCGTTATAAATGAGTAATCTATTTTACGTTTAAACCTTTTTATATAGCACTTACTGTGGTTTTAAATTCTCCCTGTGGCACCCTCTCAGTGTGTGTATGCTCTAACTGAACCTGTTCGGTTTTTTTTTATTCAAATCCAACCATGAAAGAAATATCTGATTAGAGGTAAATATCATGATACTAAAAATTCTAGTTTGCGATGCATTGTGTAAATTCAGACTCATAACTGACACTGTGTTGTCAGTCCTTCTCACGGAAAGGCCCGGATATTGTGCTATTTCGGTCGTATCTATTATCAACGGCTTTCCAAACAAGAGGCCCATGGGCCTTAACGGTCACCTGATATATTTATACAGAGAGTTGATTTTGTTTTTAACATGAACAGAAATATTATTCAATTGACAAAAAACAATAAAAACACCTTATTCAATATCTAGCATACAGATTTCAGACTAAAAAGGATTTGAAACTAGCACCTCTGATTCTAACTAAACAAGGAAAATGAAGAAATTTTAGCACACTGACTCCTTTGAGCCACACCCTTCAGCCCTTGTGGGTAGGGCTGGCTCAAAATTTTCAAAGTATCAAACTGTCAACTCAAGGTTATAATTCCAATCAAGTTATTAACATGTAATATTCAAAGTAGCATTTGCCATTATAAACCATAATAAATTTTGCCCCCCTCCTTCCCCAGGGGGTAAACGTGAGACCCTAGGGTCATAAACCTTAAGACCCTTCCATCTATGAAGAGTATTTGATTCTACCATATCTGGTACTTGAGAAGAAGATTTTTGAAATTTCAGTTAATTCAACCCTTTTTTGCCCCACCCATCAGCCCCTGGGGGTCAGTCAGGGCTCATAGGTGCATACTATCAAACTGCTACCTAATACTGATAATGCTAACCCAAATTGAATTACTTCCAATGGAAATTAAACAAATGTTGGTCCAAAATGTGATTTCCCTATATAAACTATAGTAAAGTTTACCCCCTCCCCAGGGGGAAACGTGAGACCCCAGGGTCAAGAAATTCACAATTTCGGTAAAGCACCTTAAGACCCTTCCATCTATGAAGAGTATTTGATTCTACCATATCTGGGTCTTGAGAAGAAGATTTTTGAAATTTCAGTCAATTCAACCCTTTTTGGCCCCACCCATCAGCCCCTGGGGGTCAGTCAGGGCTCATAGGTGCATACTATCAAACTGCTACCTAATACTGATAATGCTAACCCAAATTGAATTACTTCCAATGGAAATTAAACAAATGTTGGTCCAAAATGTGATTTCCCTATATAAACTATAGTAAAGTTTACCCTCTCCCCAGGGGGAAACGTGAGACCCCAGGTCATGAAATTCACAATTTCGGTAAAGCACCTTAAGACCCTTCCATCTATACAGAGCATTTGATTCTACCATATCTGGGTCTTGAGAAAATGATTTGAAATTTTAGTCAATTTAACTCTTTTTGGCCCCGCCCCTGAGACCCCTGGGGGCTTGGGACTAAACCGGCTGCTGTTTTTGTTGACCTTTGTCCATGGAAGGTCCCTGCAAAATTTCATCGAAATTGGTTCAGGGCTTCTGGGGAAGAAGATTTTTGAAATTTTAGTCAATTTGACCCTTTTTGGCCCCGCCTCTCAGGCCCCTGGCGGCTTAGGACTAAACCGGCACCTATTTTTGTTGACCTTTGTCCAAGGAAGGTCCCTGCAAATTTCATTGAAATTGGTTCAGGGGTTTTGGAGAAGAAGTCGAAAATGTAAATTGTTAACGGACGGACGACAGGCGATCGCAATAGGTCACTTGAGACTTTGTCTCAGGTGACCTAAAAATGAAACTGACTACACTGGAGGTTGGCTTCCGGTCTTGTCATTATCATCTACGTAAACTTTCGTTAGGAGATATATATTTTCAGTATCAACTCGATTTTCAGGTTGTCCTTTTACTAAATAAATAGCCCCTTTAAGCCTTTACATTTATTGTTGGTATACTTGATGACACGTTATAGCGAGGTTTCTACCTTGTCTTCTGTTCAGGGCAGAAACCAAGAATACACTTGTTGTATTATTATTCTTATTATCAATGCCTAACGGCCCATCAACACAGGATATGTCATTAGGACCAACAAATGTATCGTAGAAAGCGACCAATGTGGACCCCCTGCAGAATCGAGTGTTGTTAGAAACGGGGGTTTCTTCTCTCTTCGACTAGAATAGTATTACAGAAACCAGAATTGATCAGCTGTTCCCGATGCAACACTTGGATTTGTTTCCCCCCACCTTTCCTGTTTCTTACTTTTCTATATGCTTTCTCTTCCCGACGGTGGCTTCTTATATTTTTGAGGATAATCTTAAAAATATTTGTAAGTATATTACATTGTATCTTGACGTTTATATAAAAAAAGGCTAGAACATATTTATGTAATATCATACACACCTGTGCAGTAAAACTTAAATGGCATGGACGAAAACCGCCAGGTCACCTCACTATCCAGCCATGCAGGTTGGAGATTGAGAAAATAATACGCCTGCATGTATCGTTAGTTACATAGCTGTTAATAGGACGTTAAACAAAATAAAACACATTCCCTCTCCGCTTCCTTTGCAGGCAGCTAGACTTTATATAGCAGTTTCGTAGTATATTTTATATGCGTTAGAAATGCACATGTGTACGTTATTTAAGTCGAACACATAGCTACTTAGTACATATTGTCTTATGCAACAAAAGTACACATAACAGTTTTGCCGGAAAAAAGTGCCATAAAATTTAAGCTTTTATGTCCATGAGAGCCATTAGTTGACCGTTTTATGTCGAGTATTGAGTTACAAGGAATATAGAGTGTTTAATCATCGTTAAATCAGGGAAGGGCCTAAACCCTAACGTTTAAATCTGCGTGTTGTTTTTCCAATGCAAATGTTCGGTGTTTGATACCATAATTAAATACAAATAGTATAGACTGTGTGTTTTTGAAATGTGTTGAACACTGTTCACATACTGCATGTAGCCATTAATCCTATAGAGTGATTGGGTGAATTAAATGCACATAGAAACAGCACACATGCCCATCACATATAGAGGTACGTCCTAACATTTTCTTAGCAGTTGAGAGAACGTTAAACCTTGTACAACCAACCAACCAATAAACCAACATAAATATAGACGCTTTATACATGTCGCAAATTGTTATTATTTTATAAAGAACTAACTGACAGTCGTAAATGAATTACTTAAAAGGTATGACGACTATTTTCATTTGTTAATTATTATTTTAGCATTGAACAATACAATACATTCGCATGCATGTTCTTTTTCCCCCCAAATTAACCATGTACGTTATCCAACGCCCTCCAAGAACCTCTGCTCTATTGCAAGTGTGCCGGGTGTAAGTCGGTGATAGGTAAAGTATGCCGAAAATATATTTTACTGCTCCATTTCACTGTGTCGTCATTGTGTCTTCATCGGTGATGTCTTAAAAAAGAGGAAATCCAAATGGGTATAAATTACTTTTGAAACACGGAGGTCCGTAAAACCCCTAATAATATGCATTACACAAATTTTAAGAGTCAATTTTAAATCAATAATGAATAGTGTTAATGTGAGATAGCACTATGAAGTCGACATCAGATCCGCGCTTTGACAAGGAGGTAAATACACCAAACCATCCCGCCTCCGGCACACATACACACATGAACGCACACTCTACAGACATGGAGGAACGTCATTAAAAGACCTTATCTTTTAATAGGAGGTTAAAAAAAACCCAAAAAATAAGAATTTCACCGACAGTTTAATAAATTGTACCTTGCATCATGAAAAAAAGAACGTAAGACACATAAGTGGATGTACACTCATGTATGTGCATACATAGATATCTACAGGTTTCCACATATATTAAGCGCAACATAATTAATGGTTCCATGTTCCAGCTGTGGCATCATATTTGTGGTGAAATCAAAACGTGATAACGCATAACAGATGTTAACGGCAGTTTGTAATAATTAAATTCCTAGATCACTTATCTTTAAGGGACTGAAACTATATTGAATAAAATTTCTATGTAACAAGTGTGGATTGAAAGTAAGGAACGTATGCTTGTATATCTTTATCTATTTATGTATCGATCAATAAACGATAATATGCATGATTTGCTATTCGTTATTCAAATTCTATTCGTTCTTCAAAGTGTGAAATATCGCAATGTTAATAACAGCGACATATTTGAGTTTATCTTTCATATCATCTCGTGATACGTTAAATTGCATCGGGTGCCTTGCTAGGTCGGGATTTTGATTTGTTTGGTTTGGTTTAGTATTTTTTTTAACGTCCTATCAAAAGCTAAGGTCATTAAAGGACGGCCTCCCCTGTGCGCAAGATGCATGCGTGTAGTGTATGTGTGTGCATTTTGGGAGGCTGCGATATAATGTTAACTTAAATATCATTGTTAATTGTAAATTAAAATATCATGGACAATTATCTTTATCTGCAGATTCCAGTTGAAAAAATTGAAGCATGTGTAAAGCTAGCCCTAGAAATGGGTTATCGGCATATAGATACCGCATTTCACTATGGAAACGAAGTGGTCATTGGTAAAGCTCTACGTGAATATTTGGAAACCACTGACTTAAAGCGAGAGGATGTTTTCATCACCACTAAAGTATGGAACGTTACGTTACAACTGCTTGAGGTTTCTGTGTAATTGAAATATGATTATTTACATTTAATAAATCTGTGCGAAAAGATATATCATGTGGTACAACCAATTTACCTTTGGCATGCTCAAATTATTTTAAGGGTTTAGTTTGATGCTTTCTTTTTGAACGTTTTTAGTGTGGTTTCGCCCTTAATGACTCAAATTGTCGATGAGTCGTCAAACAATACAAAAACAAAAGCATACACATGATAATTTAGTTACGTTGATATGGGCACTTTTGTTATTCCGTGTGATTGTTTAGTTATTGTAGAAACGCCATCATTGCAATCAGTTCGTACTTTAATAGGGGCATTACATTGAAAAAAAATAATAGTATTATAATTGTGGAAAGGTAGGGCCAATTTCTAATACTTGCTTAAAAGTTGGCTACTAATAAAAAATTCAACGTCAGGATTTTCCATAAAAACTGACACCTGGGGCCTGTTCGTTTATGCGGAACAACCGGTTGGACTATTTCGGGTATAAATCCTGGCGGACCTGCAAATGTTTATGCAGGCCTTGCAAGGCCTTGTCCAGGCTTGCCTGAAAGCAGCATCAGATTACTTGGTCCGACCTTATTTAATAAACGAACAACTGTGGTCTGACCGGTTTGACCATTTAAACGAAAACGGCCCTGATAAATTTGTCATATAACACCTTTAATTTAACAAAAGTTATTGGAGAACAGCATAGCTCGCCTTTTGGTGATGTATGTTGTAAGTTAAGTAAAGATTCATAACGCGAACATTTCCGCGCACTAAAATGTTCTCTTTTACAGTATGAAAAATCTGCATACAATCTGATACTGGTGATTTGTTGCAGTTGGATGCTATGTACATGGAGGAAGACGTTGTAGGACCGGCATTAGACGAAAGCCTGAAGAGGTTAGGACTAGAATACGTCGACCTCTTCCTTTTGCATGGCCCGTGTGCGATGAAGGTATCATATTTACCATGCCAAACATTGTCATAACCAAATTATCTTGGCATCAACTCATCTACTCATTATGTTATTGTGTAGCATATATATACATACCATATTCAAAATGAACGTCAATTATTTAACAACACATCACAAATTGTTTATATCAAAAGATTTATATATTTAACAGAATTATGTCTTCGAACATTGCTGTGTTATTAATAGTTCATTGAACTGAGAAGTCTTTGTGAAATTTGGTCCTCTTGCCTTGTCATTTTCGTTATTAATGGAAAGTTTTAGGAACTCGCTTGTGTACATATATATGAATATTATCTATATTAAACCTAAAGTTCGCATTGCAAAGCAATTAATCAAATTGAGTTCAGCAATTAAGCTATATCAAATGTAATAATAATAATAATAATAATTCGAGGTTCTTATATACCGCTTTATCACAATCTAGTTCATAGGTCGTCTCAAAGCGGTTCACTAATTATTATCCGTGGTTATAATAGGACCTTTGCAACCAGAATTATTTTTCTCAACTCCTCGGGGAGCATACAGCCGATGCTGCCATTTCGGCGCTTAAAACTAGCATTCTACAATTCTAGCACTGCCCAATCACGTAGTCATTTACAGCTGAGTAGACTGAATCAAGCAGAGTAAAGTATTTTGCTCAAAGATACAACATAGTGCCGTGTCGTGACTCGAATCCGCAACCCTTCGGTCACGAGGCCGGCGTCCTACCACGAGACTACAGTGCCTCCTATATGTACGTTACGACTACGGAATTATATCCTTTGATAAGCGATTTGCCACTATGATCATGTCGAGTGTAAGGGGATGTTGACCGTTGCAAAACCAAAGCTTCTATTTCATGATGCCGCCGTGTTGTTGTGGTCATGGTCGCTGTTATATTTTGGCTAAACGATTTGATGCTGTTAATCGGATACTCGAAGTGTGAACAAGAGTCAAAGACTGGTCTTCCATCGTAATTTGTATTTCTATGTTATGGGCGGATTGGTCGAGTGGTTAACACTTCTACTTTCGGCGCAGTCGGTCGGTGTTTGGCGAAGTCGTCGCACGCATGGATTATTTAAAATAGCAAAAGTGTTTATTCTTCTGCCCACACAAATCCAACAACCCAGGTGTAGTAGAAAATGGTCTGGGTGGATGTTGCGGTATCTGTGCTGTGGCATTCAAGTGAGATGACACTATAAATGATGTCGTTGGAACCATGGTCCCACTACAAACAGGACACAATACAACTCCAGGACACATGCAGGCATACACACATAGGAAGATATTAGCAAGGTGACATAGGACTAATAGTTAGCGCCTAAGCAGGCAGCTCCTTCGAATTCCGCAAAATTGTATTTATTAATGTATATGTTAATTGTATTATATTGTATATCTATGTACTGTAAAAAATCACTTTTGGGAAACTGTATCCATAACCAAATTTTAAAGGTGAAATCCACTGTACATATAACAAAATGTAAACAAACTGTATACGTACACTATTATTGATCCGAATGTTTAAGATATGATCTACATGTCATCATTGTACCGTGTCTTGGCCTATTGGTTAAATAGAACAAGGAACTGTGTAAAAAGTGTATCTAAATTGTCTTTTTTCGCGCTCTGAATAGTTTGTTTTCATAGAGATTTGAAACAATAACCATTTTTCTGAATACCTTTACATTTATTTTTTAACAGACGTTTCGTCACTTTCCTGAAAACCCCCCGCTTTGTAGGGAATTTATGCCGGTTGATTTGAGGGAAACATGGAAGGTAAACAATATAGGATCGACAGAAGGTAACTTATTTAGGTTCGCCATGGCATGAACAATTCTTTCAACGTGCAGCTTACTTGTACAACTCTCGGACCAAAAAAACGAATTTTACCTGTCATATGTCCCTGCAGGTAGAGCGTAAAACTTGTACCTGCTGCCCCCAAATACATGATCGTAAGAGGGATCTTATCTTTTATCTTCTTGCTAACCAGCTTTCTTCTTCCTAATGTCTCCCTTGACAATGCCTCACCTTTGGTCTTTAGTTGAGCGTTCGCCCCTGCGAGGAAGGCTTTGGGTGCTGTCCCCTGGCCGGGACCTACCAGAGTCTGTAAAACTGGTAGTTTCTACTCCTGCTTAACGCTCAGCAATTTAGGAGTGTAGCTACTGGTTTTCCCGTTGTCAGTATAATGTGACCGGGTGGAGTGTCCTGTTGGGTGTCTTCGGCAGTATGTTTCAGTGAGGAAGCACTATAAATTCGGCATTAGTTCGGCATTAGTTCGGCATTAGTTCCGCGCTATCCCAAGGAGACAAACATAAACATATCGCAGCCTCCAAAAACACACACGCATACACTACACGCATACATCTTGCACACAGGGGAGGCCGTCCTTAAATGACCATAGCTGTTGATAGGACGTTAAACAATACTAAACCAAACCAAACCAATTACCTGTCATATATCGTTATGTGATAAAACACAATTTATTGTTAAAAGCGGTAAATGCTTCAAAACCATACAATACAGTATCTGTTCTGTTATATCACAAAAATTCTCTTCTAGATAAAACAATATGGTAAAAATGACGTTATCGAATTTAAAATCGATAAACTAGCACAGAATATGAAAGAAGAACAACTTTATTTATCACATAACTGACCCATTTTACTTTGTCATACGGCCATGTCATAAATATGGTATTGCACGTGTAATAAAACCTAAGGATGATGCCATTGGTCAAAAACCATGGGAACATATTCCTACGCCACGACAGGTACTACTTCTATTTACTTTACCACATGATACATGTAGTGTTATTTTAAGATCAATTTAAACTATTGATTCTGTCATAAATATTTTCATTGCATTTAAAACTGTTCATTATTTTAAAAAATATCACAAAAATCTCGAACTACAAAATCGTGTCAGCTGATAACAATTACTTGTGTTTGATTTGTTATTTGTTTTCAAATAATGAAGGTTATGTGATAAATAGAATCTCTGTATATAAGATCCTCTATATGTAGACCATAGAAAAAGAACTATGGAAAAAATACCGGTTGCTCTGGAAACGTAAAAGTCTTCTGCTTTATGGGCGACAACCGCCTACATTAAATTCAAGTAATGTCATGCCCCCAAAACAAGGACCAGGGAATTAAAACAATGAAACTACTAAGCACATTTATGAGTATGATTTCAAACTTCGACCTATATATCGCACACGGAAACAACATATTTACAAACAGTTTTATGATTGCAACTTAGAAAATGCCCATTGCTTGCATCAACCTGCGTCTTTGTCTGTAAGCAGCCGACATAAATCATTCGATTAACGTACAAACAAACTGTTTACTTTAAGGGTATGGAGGGTACTGTATATAAGGGCAAGGCACGATCAATCGGCGTATCGAGTTTCAATTCCAAACAGCTGGATTACATTTGTGATGCTGCACGCATTCAACCAGTGGTCAATCAGGTATTGTCACTTTATGTTATAGACACAGGTATTTTAGACATTAAAGTTTATTTTCCAGTAAAATGTTTGTACTTGCTGAAACACGCAACTTATATAATCTCTTCCACATTTTATTCGTCTTTCGTCGTTGGACAGACAGTTGGAAACACATTGATTTTTCTTTTTCAATAATTGAGACGAAGTTGTGGTGTTCTTAAATTAAAAATCGTTAATTTTATGTGTCCAATTATCAAACTCATCTCTGACGATTTCACATACTTTACATATAATTGTTATTTTTTCCTGTAAAGTTAATATTGTTAAACATTGTATAAGGCACATTAGCTTTTAAATTTTAAAGTACCAATTTACTTGTATTTTATTAAACACCGGCTCAATTTGACCATTTTCAATTATTACAGGTTGAGCTTCATGCCAGATTTCCTCAAAAGAAACTTAATGAATTTTGCATATCTAAAAACATCCAACTTGAAGCATTTTCTCCTCTTGGTTCGCCTTTTTTCACTGGACCGGAAGAACTCAAGTAACCATTATGAGTATATAAGTGTATTAGCTAAAGATAAGTTATTCATGCTTGATGTACCTGTTGATATTGATTAGGGCGATAGTTACAGGCTGTTTTATAACTGTTTCCTTATTATATACGCTTGATTGAGATTTAATAGTTTATATCCGTCTTAAACCCTTGATTGAGATATTTCAGCTTTATTCGTCTTTTACGATTGATTAAGATTTATAAGCTCATATCTGTCATTCATGCTTGATTGATATATTTTAGCTTATGTCCGTCTTTTATACAAAATATGATTTGATAAACAATTTCTACATTCCCGTAGTACTGTACAAGCGTCTGATAACTTGGTGGAAAACCCTATTATCGTCGACATTGCGAGGAAATACAAACGCACAGCAGGGCAAGTGAGTAAACGACGTAAGGAGAATTCATGTCGCTTCTTAAGCTATTTAGAATAGATTTAGGTTCATGATGTCCTTTTGACAAGGTATTTCAGTAAGATAANAGTTTCAATTCCAAACAGCTGGATTACATTTGTGATGCTGCACGCATTCAACCAGTGGTCAATCAGGTATTGTCACTTTATGTTATAGACACAGGTATTTTGGACATTAAAGTTTATTTTCCAGTAAAATGTTTGTACTTGCTGAAACACGCAACTTATATAATCTATTCCACATTTTATTCGTCTTTCGTCGTTGGACAGACAGTTGGAAACACATTGATTTTTCTTTTTCAATAATTGAGACGAAGTTGTGGTGTTCTTAAAATAAAAATCGTTAATTTTATGCGTCCAATTATCAAACTCATCTCTTACGATATCACATACTTTACATATAATTGTTATTTTTTCCTGTAAAGTTAATATTGTTAAACATTGTATAAGGCACATTAGCTTTTAAATTTTAAAGTACCAATTTACTCGTATTTTATTAAACACCGGATCAATTTGACCATTTTCAATTATTGCAGGTTGAGCTTCATGCCAGATTTCCCCAAAAGAAACTTGATGAATTTTGCATATCTAAAAACATCCAACTTGAAGCATTTTCTCCTCTTGGTTCGCCTTTTTTCACTGGACCGGAAGAACTCAAGTAACCATTATGAGTATATAAGTGTATTAGCTAAAGATAAGTTATTCATGCTTGATTTACCTGTTGATATTGATAAGGGCGATAGTTACAGGTTGTTTTATAACTGTTTCCGTATTATATACGCTTGATTGAGATTTAATAGTTTATATCCGTCTTAAACCCTTGATTGAGATATTTCAGCTTTATTCGTCTTTTACGATTGATTAAGATTTATAAGCTCATATCTGTCATTCATGCTTGATTGATATATTTTAGCTTATGTCCGTCTTTTATACAAAATATGATTTGATAAACAATTTCTACATTCCCGTAGTACTGTACAAGCGTCTGATAACTTGGTGGAAAACCCTATTATCGTCGACATTGCGAGGAAATACAAACGCACAGCAGGGCAAGTGAGTAAACGACGTAAGGAGAATTCATGTCGCTTCTTAAGCTATTTAGAATAGATTTAGGTTCATGATGTCCTTTTGACAAGGTATTTCAGTAAGATAACACTATACAAGTATTGGCATCAGATCCGCGCTTTCACGCGAAAGCAATTACATCAATATACACTGCCTCCAGTACATTTGCACGCATACAAAACACATGGAGGTACGTCTTTAAATCAAATTAGCTGTTGATACACATATAAACCAAACCAAAACATGATTTTCCTCAGGTGTTGTTCTCTGCTGTTTTTGTGTTTACATATAAACTTAAAATACGATGTTGTCCTAATTTATTGACGAGATGCTGTAAAAAGTCTTAACCACTTCATGCCTTTTTGAAAGTTTACATATATGTTAACCAAATAACAGATTGCTAGCCATAGTTTGTCCTAATTTCCGTCAGGCGTCGCTTCTAGAATACAACGTCTTCCAATACTGCCTTTTTGTTTGGCTGACATTTATATCGCCTAAGGGGAAATTAGTTTCAAATAGGCGAAGGATCCCTCCTTTCTAGTTCACTATGATTTAGTCACTTAATCGGAAAAAACCTTCGGGTGTTTCCGCTAAATTTAGATGTGACAGTAATCGGGGGCCAATAATGGTGTTGAGTAAAATTCAAACTTAATCGGAAATTCCCGAATCACGGAATGAATTGCTGTTGAAATTTGTCGCCTTACGAAAAAAGTCAGTTCCTTGAAGAAAATGTTCCAGTCCTAACACTTAGTAAAAAAACCCACATTAAAATGTTGATAAACAAAAAGCCACCACCGATAGAAATGTTTAGTGGTTTGTTTGACGTAAAAAGAAGGATTTGAAACGCACATTTGTTATTGTTATTGAGTATGCATTCCGGTTGCTTACATCAAAATTTAACGTAGCACACTTACGCGGTCATACGAATTTCCATAAATACCATTACATTGTTTCAATACTGAATCGTTATTTATTCAGCGTTGCTTTAACAATTATGCATGTTTTAGATTCTTCTTCGAAACACTGTACAGAGAGGTATTGTTGTTATCCCGAAGTCTGAAAACCCGAAAAGGATAAAAGAAAACATAGAGGTAGATATATATGCTTTTATTAGTCATTTATTAGTCAATGGTAAAGAGTTATCTTAAATAAGTACATGAAGGGTAACCACTTGTTCACACTAAGTGATGTACGAATAACGGGTTCGATTTCATGCTTTATTATTATCTAGCTTTATAAGATAATTATAGAGAAGGTACACGTTGTCATTGACTGTCCTTGCCCGTCTCCGGTTGGTCATTCATACATTATCCAATCTGATTTATTGAAGCACGAAACCAGCCTAAATGCATAGCATGTCACGAACCATTTGCAAAATTTTCAATTTCTACTCAAATTGGATACAACTACAAAATATTACCTTTTCATTTGCCGATGAATTTTACCATATTACCATTGCCTGTGCGTATGAATACATATTTCCAGATCTTGCAAAGGGAAATAACAATTGACACTTTTTTAACAAAGAATATACCGCTAAATTGTGCATTGTATGAGATTTTATATTTTCATTGAAGCTACACAAGAAATTGTTCCAGCAACCAAAAACGATCAATCAGCAAAATAGTATCAGCTGTTGTTAGCAGTAGTGACAAGTCATGTACTGTCCTAAAAATTTATCTCCCCATCTACCCAATCTGCCTTTAGTGTCGGTGTCAACCCCCGGTACAAAACGAAAACAACGTGCATTACATATCCAAGTAGTCCCGTCAAATATGAGAAATAGAGTCGAACAACCAACTGCCATTTAAAATTGTTTCATCCTTCCAAGCCACGTCTTGTTTCCCGTCTAATTCGACATTCAATCACTGCAACTTCACATTCCAGAAGATGTAGAACCTCAAAATTTAGCGGATCTCCACTTCGAGCAAGTAACAAAATGGCCCCCGCATCTGAGTCTACGAACCGCGTCTAAACATTATTCTTCTCCGATGGCGTGTCAGAAAATTAATATTTTGACGTATGAATTCATTAACAAAAATTAACACCGTGTTGTATGATGGTCCTAAAATGACGGGACTATATTTTTTTTATATTATGTCATTACGTAGACTTGCACAAGCTCCAAAATGTGGGACAAACTATCAGAATGGACTTTCACAATTCACAAGTTCAAATTATTGAAATACAAGGTTTGAATTTCATAGGCTGATGAATTGAGTGGCTCTTGAAACAAATTCAACATGAACTAGTTCGCAGTTTATTAAATGTATTTNGGCCTGTCTACTGGTATTATTGGACACACAATGTTGGAGGCACAGCACTCTTTGAAAAGTCGTTTTTGCACTAGTTATAACTTGGAAACCCACCTGTGAGCATCTCACAACAGCATGTACATTACAAATAAAATTATTGTAGATTAATTGCATAAATTTGTAGTGGAACATGTATTGGTAATGAATCGGGAAATAAAATAGTTTAGTATTTGAAGGGGGCGTGGCTAATATTCACATTACTTCTGAAGACAACATGTACATTAATATTCTTGGCCTAGAAGTATTAGTAGTGTTGTCGATTCAGAAAGAGGTAGATTATAATAAACATATGATTGGTTAACAGATTATTATTATAACAAGAGGCCCAGAGGGCCTCTATCGCACACCAGAATATGTTTAAAATAATTGGTATGAAGTAAAGGTATAGCACTCAATGGTAGGTGCTGTAAGTACATATAAAATTTCAGAAAGATCCATCCAGTACTTGAGATATAGCAAGAACAAACTTCAAACAGAGCCCCACCCCTATGCCCCTAGGGGTGGGGGTGGGGGTGGGGGTTAGGGTTGGGGGGTCATACCCACCAATTATAAAAAAATGAGACCCCTTGGCCCAAGGATGCTCAAGACTAAATAGGGATAAAATCCCTTAATCCCTATGGTAGATGAAGGTTTTTAGAAAATGAAGAAAGAAATGAAAAATTTAATTTTTTTTTTGTTTTGTAATGTTTACACGGTCAACTTCCGCTATTATGCGGCGTATGGGGGCGATCTTGAGGACGAAGAAAACTGGCCGGCAGATCGTGATGAAACTTGGCAGAGTTGTGTATCTGTTATATCTGGGAAAAATCTAGTTATGGAGATATTTGGGTTCAAACACACCAAAATCGGCATTTTGACTACTAGTTTCTGTATTATTCACCCTGGAGATTTTACGCTTAAAGCTGACGAAACGAAACTCCAAACATACGTAGTCCTAGTTATTCTGAAGAAAACGGTATATTTGGTTTTTCGATATCTTTCAAAAAACACACATGCACTTCACGCATGCATCTTGCATACAGGGGAGGCCGTCCTTAAATGACCTTAGCTGTTAATAGGACGTTAAACAAAATCAAACAAACAAACAAACAAATATTAGATCCTCTATATGTAGACCATAGAAAAAGAACTGGAAAAAATACCGGTTGCTCTGGAAGCGTAAAAGGCGTCTGCTTTATGGACGACAACCGCCTACATTAAATTCAAGTAATGTCATGTCCCCAAAACAAGGACCAGGGAATTAACAATGAAACTACTAAGCACATTTATGAGTATGATTTAAAACTTCGACCTATATATCGCACACGGAAACAACATATTTACAAACAGTTTTATGATTGCAACTTAGAAAATGTCCATTGCTTGCATCAACCTGCGTCTTTGTAAGCAGCCGACATAAATCATACGATTAACGTACAAACAAACTGTTTACTTTAAGGGTATGGAGGGTACTGTATATGAAGGCAAGGCACGATCAATCGGCGTATCAAGTTTCAATTCCAAACAGCTGGATTACATTTGTGATGCTGCACGCATTCAACCAGTGGTCAATCAGGTATTGTCACTTTATGTTATAGACACAGGTATTTTGGACATTAAAGTTTATTTTCCAGTAAAATGTTTGTACTTGCTGAAACACGCAACTTATATAATCTATTCCACATTTTATTCGTCTTTCGTCGTTGGACAGACAGTTGGAAACACATTGATTTTTCTTTTTCAATAATTGAGACGAAGTTGTGGTGTTCTTAAAATAAAAATCGTTAATTTTATGCGTCCAATTATCAAACTCATCTCTTACGATATCACATACTTTACATATAATTGTTATTTTTTCCTGTAAAGTTAATATTGTTAAACATTGTATAAGGCACATTAGCTTTTAAATTTTAAAGTACCAATTTACTCGTATTTTATTAAACACCGGATCAATTTGACCATTTTCAATTATTGCAGGTTGAGCTTCATGCCAGATTTCCCCAAAAGAAACTTGATGAATTTTGCATATCTAAAAACATCCAACTTGAAGCATTTTCTCCTCTTGGTTCGCCTTTTTTCACTGGACCGGAAGAACTCAAGTAACCATTATGAGTATATAAGTGTATTAGCTAAAGATAAGTTATTCATGCTTGATTTACCTGTTGATATTGATAAGGGCGATAGTTACAGGTTGTTTTATAACTGTTTCCGTATTATATACGCTTGATTGAGATTTAATAGTTTATATCCGTCTTAAACCCTTGATTGAGATATTTCAGCTTTATTCGTCTTTTACGATTGAT